GGCTCCTGTTCTTTTGTTGCCATGGGCTCCCCTTTCCCAGAACTGTCCAGAAAGCGGCCAAGCGCCTCCTGTGTCCATTTAAATACTTTTGCTGAAGACGCGGAAGGAAAAGGGTTAAATGTTTTCCTACTGGTTGCCCCAGGGAGGCCCGTTTGCAATTGCTGCTCTTTTTTCTGCCGGCACCACTTTTCTTATTTCAGGTTGAAGCATTCCTTTCCCCCCCCCCCCTTCGGGGCAGGTTCTTTGAACCCTAAGCGGATTACTGGAGGCGTGTGAAGGACAGGGCGAGGAGGTGCCTTCCGGGGAAGAGATTTGGCTCCAAAATAGGACGCTAAGCGCCTTTCGCCTGGGCCCTTAATTTGATTACCTAGGCAGCGCCAGCGCACCAGGCGGTACCAGCCGAGACGGGCTGCGGCTGGCTGCTCTCTCTCTCTCTCTTTCTCTCTCGGGAGAGGGGAGGCAGCAGCCGGGCGGCCAAACGAGGAGTCACCAAAGCGACTGTTGCAAAAAATGGAAGCGCCCGCGAAGCCGTGAGAGGAAAAGGAACGCCTTTTTTTTAATCAAGACCCAGCTTTGCCTTCGTTTCCATGACAGTTATTAGGTAAGAGAGACATTGAATTGTCTCCCACAATGCTCCGGAGAAAGGACTGGGGGGTGGGGAAGAAGTTGCTCCTCCAGTGACAAAGCGGCGGAGTTCCGACACCGGAGAGCAGGAACTCTGCCTCTTCAGAGAATTACAAAACTCCGGGAATATTCTGCCTTTTTATCGGCCGCCTCTCCTGCGTTTTGCCTGAAAGTCACGGGCAGGGCTGCTGCTGCTGGTGGTTGCTTTCCTTCCGCCCCCTCCCCTCGAAAGAAATCTTCAGAATCGCTGCGCTGCTTTTCGCAAGGCGCCGGCTTCGGCGACGCGAGGGATATGAACAATTTTCCAGGTGGGCTACCGAGAGGGAGTGAAGCTGAAAGGCGTCCAATCAGGCTTAGGCAACCCACAGCCTTGTCCAAATGCCTCTCCGGCGGATCTCGGTAATCCCAGCGCAGGAGACCACCAGCAATGGGAGAAGTTCCATAGGTAGAAACAAAGAGAAGAACAGGGAAGTCGAGGTAAGAGGAGGTTTTTGGTTTTGGTTGAAACGGATTGACAAAGAATGGTTAGGAAGGGCTGGGAAGGGCGAGGGAGGAGGTGGGAATACCCCTGTTTACTCAACAGGAAGAATTGGGATGGGGAATATCCCTTCCTCTATCCAATATATGGTTGCAATGCTGAAATGCTGTCTTCGGGTGCTTTCCTAATAAGGGCTTCTCCTATGCAAGCTCCTTCCCCCTCCCCACATTAAGGGGAGCGATAAGCACTTGTGTAGGGGACAACATTAAAAAAATGTGAACTGTCAAGCTTTGTTTGTACGTTTTGAAAGGACACTTTTGCAGGAAAAGCAGAGGAAGAAACACAGACAGTTGATTCTGCAAACAATAGAGACTGTTCTTTCTGTGTTTTCAGATGACATGCAAAAAGTCAACCGAGCATCTTCTTCATAGATGATAGGGGAAATGTCTCAAAAGAGGATTGTATCAAAATATCTTCATTGCAAGGATAGGCATTCAGACAATAATAGCATCAGTCTACCAAATTTTTTGAAATGCACAATTTATTATTTCTTCTGAGTTGCCCTTGTTTTTCATCCCATTGTTTCCTTTCTTTTAGAGGGGGAAAAAAGACACCCCCCCCAATCCTGTCATTGTTTATTAGGACATTCTGGATATCTAAGTATCTAGCATCCTATACATCATATTTGTAGAAAACATGTGTTGTAGCAATGATCTCGGTTCATCTAAGAAAAGTAAATTTTATAAAGGTGGTTCAGGCTGAAGGCTTTAATGCTATGTGGAGAAGAAGCTGCTTGCTTTTTTTTTTAATTACACTGTCTTGTAAACATTCCTAATTGACCTTTAACATACATTTTCAATTGTGAATGAATGTGACTTAGAACAGAACAAATGGGGATATTTAATAGAAGAAGATTTCCTGCATTTTCTATTGGTGTCCTATTACAGCTCTTTTTCATAGTTTATATGATTTATTTCTCAATTCCAGAGAGCAATGTATGCACTAGTATAAAATAGCAGGTGATTTACTGACTCCTGACTTAAATTTTGTCATATGCCTGTTGGCTTGTTTCTAATGTAGAGATTATGAGTCCCATTTTCAGCTACAAATATTCTTAGGTTTCTCAAAAAAAAAGCTGTTTTCCCCAGTTAGACCAGGTGTGGTCATGATATTAAAAAAGTACTGATGATTGTAAAGTATATTAGAGTTTCACTTACTGAGAATCAACTGAGAATCAACAAGGGAAAGGTTGTCTAAGAAAATAAAACAATTACACAGATCCTGATTGAATAAAAAGTTAATATCGTATCATACATTTACATAGATAATATGGAAGTACAAATTACATAAGTAATTTGATACCCATAAGCTGTGTATAAGGTTCACAAAATTAGTATTGATCAACTTCCATTATTGAGCACTAAAACATTCCCCAAAAGTTCTTCCTTATTATTTTATTTTGAAAGGAACATTTAATTTGGAAATATTTATTTTGGGAAGCTTGAGATGCTTGTATGCATATACATATACAGTATATATACTGTATCATCTCATGGTGGGACAACAGAAGTAATTCAGGAAGATTTAGAAATATAATGCAATAAAACATTGAAAATTAATTTTCTTCTTTTTTGTAGGAATGACAAGTTTTAATAAACTTCATCAATAAAAAAAAATGTGTGGCAAGGCTGTCATATGGTATTTTGAATTTCTTGCCTGTTCAGTTGTTTACTCACTGCACTACAACAATGTCTATACAATATCAGTAAGAATAGAGAATTCTTTGTATTTTCAATCTAGAATTAAGTTTAGTTCAGGAATATAAAAAGCCTTTATACAACCTTTGTTTGAACAGATGCCACAATCTTGACTCCTACATTTTCAGAGAATTAGCCCCTTTCTACCTTCAAAGACAAAGAAATAATCTTCAAGCTATATTATACTTTGCCTTACATAGTTTTCTAAGCTGCACCTCAGTTTATTCCTTGTGCTTGCAGGTTTAGAGTCTGTTTTTATGCTATCTCATACAGAGGAGTATATTTAACAAATCATTGCATTTTAACTGCATTAGAGAATGCTTAAATAAAATCATGTGCTTTTATTTTAATATAGGACTGTAACTGAAAATTGATGAGTTGCTTCTTCATTCTTACCCCTCAAACTCTTATCAGATTATGCTTGAGGCTATGTAGTTCAAGATCCATTTTCTTCATTGTCCCAAAGGTGCTTTTTCAAAAGGCAACTGGACTTTCTTGGACTTTTTTCCCCCCCTTGAAGATAGTTTGATCATCATCCAAGAGGTTTCTTCAGTTCTGATTGAATGGTGGAGGATAGAAGATTTATGTTCCTTATTTATAAATCCTTCCATCCTCCACCATTCAGTCAGAACTGAAGAAGTGATGAGAAGCGAAATGTTTTCAAGGGAAAACAAAAAAGCCCAGATGCCTTTTGGAAAAGCATCTTTGGAACAACGGTGACCTGGATAACTGAGAATCTCCATAGACATTTTTTTCAATGTCTGTCTTTATTTGGATGACATCAGTAAGATTCCAGCTTGACCAATTTAAAACACTATTTTTTCATCAGTATAAATGATCTCATAGTCATCTTTCTGTTTCACGTTTTCATACTTTTAAAATATATATCATAATAAGGGTTCCTGTCTTTAAGTGAAAACCTAATCTAGATTTTTTGCTTTCTAATGGATCTTAAACTTTTATCATCAGGAAATTCTTTCCACATAAATTTGTCTTCCAAAGAAATCTTTTACACTGAAAATTCTTAGATTATGCTCTAAACTTGCTTTCTCTAATTTGGTGTCATCAAAATATATTAAACTCTCAAAAATCCCAGTCAGCATAGATTTGGATTATGAAAATTGTACAGTAGAGGAACTGAAGCCTGGGGAAATGCCATGTCAAATCAAAGAGATTTGCTTACTTTCTGGAAAATGTTGGAAAGCCTAATGGAACTTACTCTGATCTGAAGAAATTTCGAATAAAATTTATAATTTGTGTTTCCATGAAGGATAGATTGCTTTCTTAGAAAACTTTTGTCTGAAATTAAAAATCTTTTCTTTGGGAACCTCCTGGTAAGTTTCCTTCAAATCTCCATGAAACCTTCCTCCGCTAGTTTTCTTCTACTTATTGTAAACATAACCATTTTAACAATTTGAAACTCAAAATACTTGTGCTTAACTTATGTAAGGAGCACTTAAGTTTTGTTGCATATTCTCTCTCTCTTGGTTCTTTCGCTCTTTCTTGGATCTCAATCCCTTCCCCCACCCCATGTGTTAGTGTGTGTTTATATATGCATGCTGTTTATTATTTTTGCAAAATGTAGAAAATTCTTTGATGGAGCTGAAGTAAGAAAATATCAATTGCTGTTCTTTAGTTTATGATGAACTGTAGCATTTTTCCCTAACTGCTTGGCTTAATAATGAGACCCAACATCAATTACTGTAGATTGAATATTTTAAAGTGCCTTTTGAAAAGTAAATGATATATATTCCAGTACATGAATATTAACAAAATTCACCAATGATGTAGTTTGAATATAAAATACTGTTTGGAAAGTTTGTAAGTCTTACTAGAAGGCTATGCAAGACCTATTTGGCCAAATGTTTCCTTCAAAACTATGGCTGCTTATTTATATTTTGCAATTGGAACTTGGTGACTGAAAATCAAATTTCTCAAAATTTAGCAGAAGAGATTATACTTCAAGAATTCTGTAATTTACCTACCCAGCATGCAAAAAGAAATGATGAAAAGTCATAAAATGGGTTATTGTCATTGTCTCTCATCTTAACTTGCCAGATGGAATTGCATTAAATGGAGTCAAGTATTAGTACACAAAAGGTTACGTAATGTAGGAGAAATTACATTTAAGGTAATTTAAGATCAATGGTTTATTTAGCTTTCCCAGCATACACCATTTAAGATTTGTATCCCTTTATAACAGTTACTGAAAGTATGGGGAAAAAAGTTTGAGACTTAAAAAGAAAGTACATGTCTGAAATATTTTGGGTGATATAATAAAATACTGATAAAACATTTGGAAAATAATCTTACCTTTTTCATTTGATAGAACGTTGGGTAGAATAATTCTGAAGGAATCATATAAGATCTCAATTGATTTGAAGAACAGCAAACTTTAAGTGAAATATGTAGCTTAATTTACATCAAAAGAATTTGAAATTTATGTAATCTAGAAATAAATATATTGAATTGTTTATTTAAAAGTTTAGCTTTTAAAATCAGAAATATTAAAGTTTTCATAACTTACTACCTGAGCACACCAATATGAATAATTTCAGCACATTGGACAGCTATCAAGGTTTACTATGTATTGCAGTGATGTATATTGCGTTGTAATATTTTGAGCTTATAATATTTAAAATTTTGGTAAGCTTTTATTTATGAAGAAACCATATGTGAAAAAGATGGAAAAGGGAAGAAGGAACATTTCAAATTACTACAATTATTGAGAAAAGTATTTCATGAAAGTAGTTTATTCCAGAGCACAATTTGGAAAATAATTGTTTTTAAGGGAGGAAATTGGGAGTGATTTGACTATATGTTACATCCCTCTTCAAATATAACAATAGATGCTCAGCATTTTTTGATAATTGTATAAAATTTGAGAAACTTTCTTAAAAGTTCCATCAAGGTGGTGATCAATGCTAGAGAGCTTCCAAAAAGATATATTTCTGTTCCATGCACTTCTGAGGAAGTGGGGTGGGGGGAGATTCAGTCAACATAAAAAATAGAATTTATAGTCTTGACTTTTGACTGTAGTAGATATTATATGTCCTCCTCATAAGTCTATTAGGCTTTTTGCCTCTTTAAGTTTTAGGATAAAGAACATCGATTCTATTTACACTTAGGTCTTTGTCTCTTATATTTAATTGGTGAATTTGTTCCAGTGCAATAACTGTTATGCAAAATATGGTAGAACAGAAACAGTATGACATTCATTTTTGCTAATGTCCTGTTTAGGT